GACACAAATGATAGTAGATTCAAGGCATTCAGTAAATATTAGATTAAGTAATTGTGTGTGCATTTGGTTAAAAAATGGCAATGTCAGTACTGTGGWTCATGATAGTCTTCAAAACTGGTATAAAATCTTGGGGCGCAAGCATAGCATATCTGGTTCTAGTGTATTTGGAGAACTCAGAACTCTCTATGTCATGTCAGAAGTCCCTTTCTCCACCACCTTTTATAGGTTCAGTGATCACCCGCCATCCAAGAGGTGATCACTCAACCTACAAAACTTCACTAGTGCTGGATCTTTCAGTGCCCTGGTACCCCAGCCATTTGCCTAAATCTAGTAGAGCATAGACTCCTGCTTTAGTGTAGCCTTTGGAGGGATTCACAAAAGACTGTTTCTTGAGCTCTGTGAGCTTCTGAGCCAACTCCACATGACTGACATTATGCCCATATTCACAGTTGTACCACTATGATCTACTTTCAAGGCCATCGAAATTAACCTCTTATCACCTTTTACCTCAGAAACCCCAAGAGGCCAGAGGTTCCCAGGTCATTCCTCACTATGAGGCTCTTTTCCTCCAAACAGATCTGCACATGTCTCATTTCCTCTTAGAATTTTCTTCCTTTGCACTATCTCAAGTAGTGATTACTCTCCTTCAACGTTTACCCCTTGGGATATGGGTATTGTAGGTATGTTCCTATTTTTCCTCACTGTGGCATCAGGACTTTATTCCATCTTCTTCCTTAAACATCTCAATTATTTAAAAATTATGCCCTCAAACCCTGCTATACTTACCTACTTCTTCTTGCAGTAGGTAACCTTCTTGAACATTCTTCCTAATTCAAATTCTTCAATATTTACCATCTCCCTTAATGTATCTTTCTCTAATACAATCATAATCTCACTTATTTCTTTCCCCCAGTTGTATGGAGGTGAAATTGGCAAATAAAATTGCATAAATTTAAAAGGTAGGGCTGGGGATGTAACTCAGTAGTAAAATGTTTGCGTAGCATGTGTAAGCCCCTGAGTTCAAACCCCTATACTAAAAGAAAAAAATAAATAAATAGACATACAACACAATGATTTGAGAAATATGTGTGTATATATATATGTAATCATACACAATCATTATATAATAATTACAGTCACATTAGTTATTATATCTATCATAATTAAAACTTTTATGTGACTAAGAACACTTAGGAAACTATTATTTCCAATCACCAATTGCAAAGATTAATTTTCACTTTCCTCTGACTAGATGTACTCACATTTTTTGAGATAGTCTAGCATTATTTTAGTAATTTTAAAATATTTCACAGCTTTTTTTTTTTTTTCACTTTTGTAGCCAGAATGGAAAGATGGCAGAAACTAGAAGTTTGAATTTTCTAATTCCTTTTTTCCCATTTCTCTGTGAAGTCCTGGTACAGGAAATGACTGAAAGTTTCTACATCATAACATTCAGTAGGAATGACCTTATTAAGCAGCCAATTTTGAGGTWAGTGTGGGCCTGTCTTCTGGTCACAAGCTTGTGTGGTTTAAGGGCAGCTTCTCATACATATCAAAATACAATTTTACGACGATGAATGGCTACCTCTTAGAGGATGTATCTAGGATTCTGCTTCTCAGAGGCCAGCAGACAGGTAAACATGAACACATCATAGATTCTAAGAACATCTGCTCCATGGTTTACCCCTTCCATGACACTGATTTCTTCTTCACCCCTTAGCATAATCCTCTCTAGAGTTTTATATCTTGAAATACATTATCTTGATTGCTTACCTTTGATTTAGGTACTATGTAGTCTTTTTCATTCCCCTCTATCCGCACTGTATTTCAGGATGCTGACCAGTGGTTGTAATGAGACACTACTAAATGGAGCACCAGCAAAAGATCGGAAAATCAAAGCGTTTATTCCCTTAACTTCCTCACAACCAGACTGTAGCTTAGACATAACTGTGAGCATTTCTATGAGTTCACAGTTCATGTTAAAATATTGTATACAAATACAGATATAATTCTTTCTTTGGTTCCTAGTAATTGTACTCATTGCTTGCCCCTTTGACATAGAAAAGGATAATAGCTCCAGATTATTTATGAGAACAGGCTGATTAAATATTTGCTACTGGTTTCTATTGGTTCTTCCCATAATCATTAGTCTTTTAATTCAACCCTCCTATGCTGCTATATTTGAGAGAACTATCTGGCAGAATCATAGCTAATTTACTTTGTATATTAGGAAAATTGTTTTACATCATTTGTTTCATTTTTTTGTAATGACTGTAACTCACAAACTTCATTTTATTTTCAACCTATCATTCAAAGTACTGATAGCACTAACCAAGACACACTTCCATGTTTTTTGGAAATCAATAAATTTGTGTTCCACTGGTCCAATGTCTGTACAACCTTAGTTGCTCCTGTTCCTTTTCATCAGATTCTACTTGTTTGCCAGCTACACCCAGCAATGCCATTTTTGATGTTGTGTTTTCTTTTCCCCACTCTTACTGCTCATAATAATAAAATTGTATGTGAAGCATCCATAGATCCCCTGAGCTTTCAGCCATTTAAGTGGTAAGAGAATTACTGGTTTGCACTCACAAGTGGAAATTAACTCCTTTCTGACAGTGATGCTTTTTGTTACTAGGGCCAATAYTGTCTCAAACTGGTGTTTCAGTATCTTTCTGAAGGAGGTAATCTAGGGTAAAATGCATAAGCAGATATTCTGTATGATGCTGCTAGAGTTTACATTGACCAGCAATTCTTCAGGGTGGAATGTACAGCAGCACTGGCATTTCTTGAGAGCTTGATAAAAGYGCACCTTTACAATCCCTACTCCAGACTTTCTAAATTAGATTCCTTAGGAACAAGAACAAGGATTTGTGTTCTAAACAAACAGTCATTCAGGAAGTTCTAATTCAGTTAAAAGTTTAGTCACTGATCTAGAAAAGCATAGCTTCTAAAACAGCAATATACAGATAAATTCTTAATGTAAAATCATTTAAGTCAATAGTTTTGAGATTTTTGCTGATGTTTTTCACTGATTTTGTTCATCTACTATAAAAAAAGAAAATATATTTTAAAACTAATTTTGTTATCATTTTATCTTCATGCTTTTTAAATTTATATTAATTCCTTTGCTTCACCCAAGTCAGTGTTAACAAGAGTTAACAGAGTTTGTCATTGATAAATTGGGGGAAAGAAGGTTAGGAGTTGAAAATTCTGCATTTGTGTCCAAAATTTTTATCACATTCTTATTGATTTCTGAGGCTTTACTTTTCATTTATAATTCAAAATAGAATGTTGCTTCTGCCTTGTTGGACCAATTTTGTTCTTACTTTTCTGTTACTTTCCATATTTTGCTTCTTCTCTTAATCAAGAGAAGAAGTTAGGGACAGTGTTTTAAATTGAGTTGGCATGGCCATATGTACTTCAAATTCTTTTTTTTATTATTAGTTGCTTGTTACAATACAATGATCTTGACATATCATACATTTGAGTCAAATGAGGTATAATTTCTCATTTTTCCAAGTGTACAGGTTGCAAATCACATTGGTTATATGGCCATGTATATACATACAGTAATACTAGTATCTATTTTAATAGTATGGACAATCTCAGAATACAGAGAGTAACTCATGTGACTCTTATGAGTAAGTTTTCAAACCTAACCTACTTACTTGAGGTATTTTTTTCTTTCAGTTTTGTAAAATCAAATTTGAATTTCTATAGCACCCATATTAACTAAAACTCATTAGCAAAAGATTTCAGAACAAATTACATTATTTTAAAATTAAATCCATTAATTATCAGAACAATAAACTGAGAGATGACAACCATGCATCTTGTTATCTAATTTATCTCTTGATTATTTATTTTACAACAAAACTGCATTCTAAACTGCCAGGATAATGTTAATAAGGGTTARTAAAATAAACCCTTTATTGTAAAATAATAAAACCAATAATTATAGATGAATGTATATTTACCTATATTAGCATAGTGGTGGCTATATTTGTTAAAGCTGATCATTTTCTTAAGTAGATTCACAAATATGCCAGCACTATTAGGCAAAGAACCAAAAATAGTAAACTAAAAAGCCATTATTTTTTAAATAATACTAATTGCATTTATTGGTGTGTTGATAAAACACACCAATACGTGCACAAATTTGTTCAATGGATTAGACCATCCAAGATCTAATGATGAAGTTTCTTCTCTTCATCCTTTTGTGAAAAGTCACTTTTCAACAACTTATTTTTTTTAGAAATTTTGAATTTCTGCTGCTTTAAAATTCATGAATGTACTGTGCAATATATATCTATGATGCTTCTTTTGGTGTATTTAAGGCTACATTATACCCCAGCTTTTAATTTTCTAATTTTATAAATACTCTAAAATTGTGAGGTTATTTACTGTTCTTTAATAAAGTCCAACAGAACTTTCTTTAAGCAGCGAGATAAAACTCAAGCAAGTGTGAACAGTACAAATTGTATTTTTAATGGTGTGAGAAAATACCTATAAAGCTATTTAAAGTGAACTAAAATTATATGCCAGAATATCATTTACAAATGTGTAATTTTTGGCAAAAAAGTAAGTGCTACCACCTAAAAGTCTGACTAGACCCTAACTAAGAACCATTAGCTGAGGTTTGTGAATTAGAGGAAGAGGTGGTTACTCTTTCAAATTTTAACACTATATGTGTAAAAGAAAAATAATATGGTAGGGATTCACATTTCTTCTTCAAATATTTTCATTTACCTTAAAAYTTCCATTATAAAGTATAATATTTATATTATAACTTCTTGCCCAAATCATTTTTGAGAATTCCATAAAAACTTATTTAAAATTAACACCAAAATTAGTAGAGAATATGCAAATATTTTTATTCTAACATTAAATGAGTATAAGATATTAATCAAAAGTAAAATCAGAAACTTATGTTATTTTGTACAAATGACTTAATATTCTTAAATATTGTATTAAAACAAGCAGAAAAGTAATTATACCTGTATTGGTAGTCTTCTTCACATTTAATACATGCAACATTACCCTTCCAGGAAAATGAATTATGTGATGTTTCATTTGTCTTGCATAACTTTCCTGAATGTATTAATGAAGAGATGCACACAACATCCTAGGAATTAAATTAAAGATTATAAATATTTTTACAAAGGTTTTGGATATTTGAAAGATAATGTATGATTTCTTGCCTGTAAAGAGAAGGAAATTGTTAAAGAAAATGTGGAAGTTGTTTTGTGTGCAGTAACATGGGATGTTCTATTTTCTAACATGTCACATATCTCCCCTATCATAAACTCTTTCTCCTAGGTGAAACCAACAATCCTCTGTTGGAGACTATGCATTTCTGCATTGAATACAAGGCTGTGACTATTGAAAAGWGGTGTTATGTGACTAAGCAAGGCCAGATATAAAGGTCCTGCAGTTCCATGTATTTGGGGATGTTCACTTGGAATCCAATCATCATGCTCTAAGGAACCCCAGGTCACCTGAAGAAGTCTTCCTTAGGATTATGGCTCTTAGCTCCAGCTAAAGACCCAGCTGATACCTAACATAAGCCACCAAACAGGTGAAAAAGCAATCTTTCAAGATAAACTGCAGTTCCAGATACTTTTTGACTGTAACTTCATGAGAAACTAGGACCAAGAAAGAACCTCTTAGGTGAGACATGTTAATTCACAGAACTATAGAGATAATAATGGTATAATTGTCTTAAGCCATTTAAATTTGATGTGATTATACTTAGAAAATAGAAGATTGTAATGTTATAAATCTATACATGTGTTATTAGGTAAAGACAAAAGTAAAACTAAATTTGAKGAACTTATCTGTTATTGCCCCTGTAGTCTATAGGCACTATTCATAACTTTTCTTCCTCCTCTTGTCCTCTTTTCTTTACCTCCTTTTTCTCCTTTATCATCATCATCATTTTCAAACTTATAATAGTATTTAAGTAATTCTAAGACAAAATKCCTATGAACTTGAAGTAGATGATTGTGTTTCTTCTTTGTGGAATCCAATTAAATAATACTCATTAAAAAAAAAAACTAGCTGGGAGCAATTGCGCATGCCTGTAATCTCAGCTTGAGAGGCTGAGGCAGGAGGATTGTGAGTTCAAAGCCAGACTCAGCAAAAGTGAGGCACTAAGCAACTTAGTGAGACCCTGTCTCTAAATAAAATACAAAATACAGCTAGGGATGTGKTGRTTGAGTGTCCCCGAGTTCAATCCCTGGTACTTCATCCCCTAAAGAAAAACACCTAAATATGAAATATACAGAGTTTGCCTAAGGTTATTGCATGGTGATGGTGGAAATGATAAAGTGTCTTCAAAATTATTTATAATAAAACATGTTCTTTCAAACATAATAATGAATAACACAAGAATAAGTAAGAGTTAAAGTACTTTTATGAATTAATAGTTAAGCAAACATCCTTTGAGGATCACTTCTTAAGATACTCATAACTAGTAAAGTTAGAGTGTGTTTAATTGTCCTTATTCTCAGATTTAGAATAAAATTTTTCAAGTGATCCTACTAATAAATTTTCATAGTTTACTACACTATTTTTCATTCATATAACAAATTTTTATGTGTAGAAAACTTTTTTACAAACTTAGTAGCTTAAAGAAATAAAAATTTATTATCCTGTAGTTTCAGAGGTCATAAATCTGAACAGAATGTCACTGTGCTAAAATCAAGATGCCAGTTATGTTCCTTCTGGAACTTACAGAAGATAATATTTTCTTGACTTTCCTGGTTTCTAGAAGCTGCCCTCAGTCTTCATTTATGGTCCCTTCTTTCAACTCCAAAACCAGAATTGCAGCATCTTCAAACTTCTCCCTGACTGTAATACTTTTTCTCCCTCTTCCTCTTTAAAGKACTGGTAATTACACCAGTCCTGTTTAGATAGTCCATGATGTAATCAGCTGACCAGCAGTCTTGATTCTATTTGCCATCTTAGTTTCCCCTTCTTATGTAACATAGAGTTGATACATATCCCTARGATTAGGACATAGACATGCTTTGGGGAGGCTGAGTGGAGGACCTAATTTCCCCTTACAAGTATAATTTTGATTGTTACAAGAATGTCTTAGTGTTCTTCCCACTAAAATCTCTTAATGCTGATGTTTCTTTTAATATAGATTAATGACAACTGGTTAGGTGTTTTTCAAAAAAATTATAGGTGAATTACAAAACGATACTATTGTAGGCCTTTATCTTTTATTATATGCCTTGTATAATTAAACTAAAACTTCTCAGTAATGGCTTGACCAAAATATTGTTAATAGAATGGACATTGTTCCAAGAAGAAAGTTCCATTTAAACACTGTTGGTGATAAAGAGTTGTGAAATTCAAAAAATAAACTCCAAAAGATTTTTAAGAGTTAGTGGCAAATATGATTAGTAGTAAAATGGAGTGGTCTGTGAGAATGGTTARCAAACAATTTGTCTACTTAATTGAAATATTCAATTAATAAGGTGTGAAAATATCATGTAATCAAAAGAGAAGAAAAAATTAAAAGAAATAATGAAAACTGGAAAGTATGTAAAATTACGYTGTTCCTGAGGGAGAATACAGGTGGAAGAGCACAAAATGAGACTGAGCAGTGTTTTAAAATTGAGGTTTCTATATAAATGGGAAAAAGGAAAGTGAACAAGTAGATTTTCTGGCTTTCCTATGTTTTAAAATTATAATTTAATGAAAATTTTATATGCAATTTTCATATGTAATTTGAGTACTGAATTTCATTTAAACTTCTCTCTCATTCCCTTCATTCAGACTTACATTTGGTGTATTGACACAGTCAGTGCCAATCTGACGTGCTGCTTCAGAACATTCATTGACATCAGTTTCACAGTTTTGACTGAGAAGTTCTTTTGGGCATTCACAGATGTAAGCAGAGCAGCATTTTTGCCAATTTTTTCCTTCCCAATGAGAATAAGGATTAGGAGGTTTCATGAGCYCCTCACACAATGGGCCTTGAAAAATCACATGTAGAAACAGAGACATACACCGAGAGGGATTGGGAGCAGAAAGGGAAAAAAGAAAAAGAGAAAATATGAAGAGAAAGTCATTATAGAAAAAGAAAGCGAAAGTCATTATAGAAAACAGTCTAAAATGCATGGATTCTTTTTTGGTACAGAATTGTATGTGTTTTTATTTTTGTAATTTTTAATGATTTTTTAAAATTTAATTAGTTATACATGACAGTAGAATGCATTCATGMACTATTTTTTTAAAGAGAGAGAGAGAATTTTTTAATATTTATTTTTCAGTTTTTGGTGGACACAACATCTTTATTTTATTTTTATGTGGTGCTGAGGATCGAACCCAGYGCCCCGTGCATGCCAGAGAGCACATTACTGCTTGAGCCACATCCCCAGCCCTCATGCACTATTTTAATATTTATTTTTAGTTATAGGTGGACACAATGTCTTCATTTTACTCTATGTGGTGCTGAGGATCAAACCCAGTGCTAGGTGAGSGCTATACCTCTGAGCCACAACCCCATCCCCTTTTATGTACTTTGATACAGCATACATAGATGGGATATAATTTTTCATTTTTATGAGTGTACATGTTACAGAATCATATGAGTCATGTAGACACATTTATACATAAAGTAATAATTTCTGTTCCATTCTACTATATTTCCTATCCCCACATCCCCTCTCATCTCCTCTGATCACTTCCCTCTACCTGATCTAAGATAATGTCATTCTTTCTTCGTACCCSCTGCCTTATTGTGAATTAACATTTGCATTTTGAGGGATTGGCCTATTTTGCTTAGCATGATATTCTCCAGCTCCAACCATTTACTAGCAACTGCCATAATTTCACTCTTCTTTAAAGCTGAGTAATATTCCATTGAGTATATATACTACATTATCTTTATCCATTCATTGATTGAGGGGCATCTAGGTTGGTTCCATAGACTAGCCATTATGAAATCCAGTTGCTATAAACATTGATGTGGCTGTGTCACTATAGGCCTTGTGTCACTATGGACCTTGAAAAATCACATATAGAAACTGAGACAGAGACATACACAGAGAGGGATTGGGGGCAGAGAGGGAAAAAGAGAATTTTAAGTCCTTTGGGTATAAACCAAGGAGTGGGACAGCTGAGTCAAACGGTTGTTCCAATCACAATTTTCTGAGGAATCTCCCTGCTTCTTTCCATAGTTGTTGCCCCAATTTGCAGTCCCACCAGCAATGGATGAGTGTATCTTTTTCACCACATCTTCACCAACATTTATTGTTGCCTGTATTCTTGATGATTGCCATTCTGATAAGAGTGACAGGACATCTTAGAGTCGTTTTGATTTTCATTTCTCTAATTGCTAGAGATTTTGAAACACTTTTTTATATAATTGTTGATCAGTTGTTGTTTGACAGAATGCAGGGTATTATCTTTGTTTTTACGTATTTACTAAGAGTTGATTTGGGGCATAAATATGGTCTATTTTAGAGAAGGAGCCATGTGCTGCTGASAAGAAAGTATATTTGCTCATTGATGGATGAAATATTCTATATATGTCTGTTAAGTTTAAGCTATTGCTTGTATTATTTAGTTATATAATTTTCTTCTCTAGTTTTTGTTTGGAAGATCTGTCCAGTAGTGAGAGAGGTGTGTTAAAGTCACCCAGTACTATTGTTTTGTGGTCTATTTCACTTTTAAAATTGAGAAGTGGGGCTGGGGATGTGGCTCAAGCGGTAGCGCGCTCGCCTGGCATGCGTGCGGCCCGGGTTCGATCCTCAGCACCACATACCAACAAAGATGTTGTGTCCGCCAAGAACTAAAAAATAAATACTAAAAATTCTCTCTCTCTCTCTCTCTCTCTCTCTCTCTCCTCTCTCACTCTCTCTTTAAAAAAAAATAAAAATAAATGTCTACTGTGCTTTAAAAAAAATAAAATAAAATAAAATTGAGAAGTGTTTGTTTGATGTATATAGATGCTTCTCTAGGGCATAAATATTTATAAGTGTTATGTCCTACTCATGTATACTTCCCTTAAGAAGTATAAAATGTCCTTCTTTGTCTCTTCTGATTAACTTTGGTTTGAAGTCTACTTTATCTGAAATGAGAATGGAAACCCCTGCTTGTTTATGCAATCCATATGAGTAATAAGTTTTTTCCCATCCTTTCACCTTCAGCCTGTGGTTGTCTTTGTCCATGTGGTGAGTCTCTTGAAGACAGCATATTGTTGGTTCTTGCTTTTTAATACAATCTGCCAGTATATGTCTTTTGATTGATGAGTTTAGGCTAATAACATKCAAGGTTATTATTGAGATATTATTTGTATTCCCTGTCATTTTGATTTATTTCTGCTTTTTGATTTGTCTTAGTTTCTCATTTAGTTGAAAGTCCCTTAAGTGTAGGTCCTCCCTTTGCTGGTTTTCACTTTTTTTTCCCACTTCATCCTCCCGGAATATTTTGTTGAGAATGCTCTGTAGTGTAGGCTTTCTAGTTGTGAATTCTTATAATCTTTGTTTATCATAGCATGTGTTAATTTAATATGCAAATCTGAAACTTAATTTTTCTTTATATAATTTTTTTGATTGGCATCCATTTTCTTTCAGAACTTGAAATATATTATTCAAGGACCTCCTAGCTTTGAGGGTCTGGGTTGTGACAGTTGAGATCTGAATTGGTTTCCCCCTATACGTGATTTTTTTTTTCTCACAGCCTTTAAGATTTTATCTTTATTCTGTGTTAGTCATTCTCATTATAATGTGTCTTAGTGTGGGTCTTCTGTAATTTTGTATATTTGGGGTCCTATAAGCCCCTTGTATTTGATTTTTCATTCCATTTTTAGGTTTGGGAAATTTTCTGCTGTTATATCATTGAAAATATTGTGCATTCCTTTGGTTTATATCTCTGCTCCTTCATCTATTCCAATAACTCTTAAATTTGTTCTTTTCATGTTATCCTATAATTCTTGGATATTCTGTTCATGGTTTCTTTACATTGTTTCTGCAGGTTCAACTCTACTTTCAAGATTACATATTTTGTCTTCATTGTTTGAGGTTCTGTATTCCAAATAATATAGTCTGTTGGAGGTGTTTTCTRTTAAATTTATAATTTGGTTTACTGATTCCTTCATTTTAAGGAGCTCTCCTTTTTTATTTTTCATGATCTCTAACTTTTATTGAAGTGGTCTTTCATTTCCTGTATTTTTTATTTGATTTCACTCCTTATACTATGCTTTACTTCACATATCGATTTAACTATATACAATCTGAACTCTTTCTTGAACATTTCTTTTATTGTGTTATCAGTAGCTTCTGTTGTTGAATCATCTTGGTTTGTTTGGAGTGCTTTATTCCCTTGTTCTTTCATGTTATTAGAGTGTTTTCCCACCTAAAAGTATAGATCTAAGGCAGAATGAATTCTACTTTCTAGACCTAKAGCGTTTCTGAGGTTTCCAGTGCTTTATTCAACTTTATTGATGAGATGAATATCAACAGCACTCAGTGTACACAATATATAGTCTTAAACCTAATAGCTCCCACTAAGGCATCTAACTGCTTTCTCATATTAAACCAAAATAATGRGTTCAATAACCATCTATAGTACAAACATAATAGTTGTTAAAACAATTTACAGTTTCAAATGGTAGATGAGAGAACAGCAGTAGTGTAGTATGGGATATTTGCAAGGGATTAAGAGAGAAGCTAGAAGTAAAAATTCACAGGAAGAGTAGAAGAGAAACCTACAGAGATTAACTGTTGGTTGGAAAAAAGTTGGAAAGAAAATAGACAAGAGAGAGGAAGAATATGAACAAAAAGAAAAAAATTAAAGACATAAGAATAYAAAAAAAATGCAAAACACCATTCATATATCATTGTTCTCTACACATTGATGCATAAAAGACATCCTTTCTTTTTGGAAATATGATATTTGGAAATATGATAGAGATTAGTGAATCAAAAAATAAAATAAATCTTTCAGGAAAGTCAAACTGTCTCTGTCATGTTCAACAGTTTGTCAGCCCTCTCTCTGACATCTCTGGAGATCACCAAACCTAGATTTGTCCTCTCAAACCAAGTCTCTTATCTCAACAATTTAGGCTTCAGATACCTCAGGCTCAGTGACACTGTAGTTCCAAGATCTCAATGCTGCTCCTACTTGCAGAGAGACCACCAAGATACACTCATGCAAATAACCAAACCGAGATGCAGCAGCAAGACAAGGGCTACCAGCACTCTCAGCAGAAAGATGCCAGGTTCCCCCAAACCTGCAGGCACCCCCACACTGGATSTGCAAGTCTCAGCTAGAGTCCCCAGACACAGGCTCTTATGGTGGTAAACCTGCTGGAACCCAGGAACCAGTTTCTGGCTGGTGTCCCAAAATCAGTGCAGCCACATGCAACCAAACCTGAAGTCTTCCCTAAAAGAAGTCAGTGTGTCAGTAGTAGCCATGGCAGCTGTGGGGCAGTGTCACCAAGTGATCTCCAGGGGTCAGCAGCAGTGTTGGCTTCAGTTGCATCCAAGGCAGTGGTGTCTCCTGTGGTAGTAGTACCCAGAAACAAGACATTCAGGTGATCTCAGGCTGGCAGCAGTGAATCAGAGGCAGCACCAATGGTGATAGAGGTATAGGCGGCATTTGATTGACAGGTGACTTCAGCAGCAACCATAGAGGCAGCCTTGGAATTCAGAATTCATGTCAGAGGTAATCCAGGCTGTGCCCAGAGAAGAGACCTCCAGGTGACCACAGGCTGGAACAAGCAGAATCAGAGGCTGCAGCAATTGTGAAAGGATTCCTTAAACAGGCTTATTGTAGTATTACTTCCATATCAAGGAATTTGCATATTGAAAATTATAACCCAATAACTTTGGCAAATATATAGATAATTTTATGTTTTTTAAATTATTTTGCTAATTTAATAAAAATGTATTTATCTAATGATAAATACAAATTACTAGAAGCCAATTTTAGCACATTTCCATTGGTGAGAGAGTGATTTATCTGTTTT